AACCCCTTACTCTTCTATATGTAAGTTTTTGAGATAATTTTATTTCATTTACAAAGTTTCCTTCTTTATATTCCTTTACTATTTATTTTTGATTTCTTCACTCTGACCTAACTAATAAAAAATGTTACACTAGTAAATACATTCTCCGTTACTTTGAATTTGCATTATGTTAAAAATTAAAACATGTAAAATAATTAAATAACTACGCGTATGTAACTTACCAATCTGAATCTATCCAAACCATGACTAGCTATTAGCTTTGAAGAACAACCTTTAAAACAGAAATGTAGTTTGATAAATATCAATTAGCATTCAACTGTTTGTCCGTCGATCGCGATAAGTCTAGCCCTGGCGCCAGCTCCAGGCGTCGCCTCAATCATCATTAGATGGTGTCGATTAAACAGTATCTACCGGCGTCTGACAGGCGGCCGGGCTGCAGTAAATTTAAATTATAATACGTAAGTCCTAATAAGCCCCAAGCAAAACCCACTGATAGCTACTCGTAGTTCCGATATTACAAATTGCTTTATCGGAAAATTATAATGCGGTAAGAAATACGATACGTTCCGGCAACCTTTAAATTAGAATTTGCTCTCTAAACAGTAAAACAAATTTATTCGTCATCAATGCATTGATATAATCATAAAAGTGAATAAAGTGTTTTAAATGCACAATTTTCGTTAAGTATATTTGGTATTAGCTTTCTACATTTACTACGTCCTTATGAGTATGTGTGTATGTATGTATGAGCAGTTATATTTTTCAAAAAAAAAATTGAGAATTTTTATGAAAGCTTAATAATTTTTACTAAGCCAAAGTATCGGCATAATATAATGGCCGACACAGCTATGGTCGATTAATTTTGTTATTTTAGTGGAAATTTATTGTACCACAGACCACAGCTATAGAAATCGGTACGTGAATCGATACATTTCTTAAAATTCGATTATTATTTTAAATAATCCATCTTTAAATATATTCGATTTTTCACAGTTGAAATTCTAGTAGTCACGTTAAATTAAAAAAAAATAGTAATCATTAGAGCAACATCTGACGTGAAGGAAGGAGAAGAAGAAGGAGTTGCCAGTTTAAGCACCTGTTAATTTTAGCCGTCTGTGTAAATAATATTTATACAGACGGCTAAATAATAATTTTGGTGTAAGGTCTCAAGAAGCTGTAATGCATGATAATTTGCGTACGGTGCATGGTTTTAGCACCTTATCCTGGGTCAAAACAATCCGATTATGAATCTTCTCATTTGCATGTTGGTTCAACAAAGATTTTGCTGTTGAATTTCTTACAGATTTCTCTAAGTTCTTACGATAAATCCACTTTCCGCTCGTCGCTTTTGTCACTTCTATACAAATTTCACACGTTGAAAGCTACTACTTGTAACCACAGTGCAGTGTTAACTTATTAGGGCGTGGATAGGATGAAATTACTGACCACTATAGTTCCCAATTCTTGCTTGCTATCGTGGTCAAAATTTTCAGAATGAAAGTAATTGAATCAAAGAGACGTGCATTCATTTGCAGTACAAGGCTTACACGCAGTCATTAATATCGCCTTTTCGTTTGTCCAGCATTCCTATTATGTAAAGTAAAAAAGTAAAAAAAGTAAAGTTACAGCCTATATACGTCCCACTGCTGGGCACAGGCCTCATTTCTGAGAGGGTTTTAGGACAAGGAAGTGTCCGCCGCGCTGCCCCAATGCGTGTTGGCGAACTTCACAAGTCTTCGAAATATTTTTTTCTTATTCCTCAGACATGCAGGTTTCCTCACGACGTTTTCCTTCACCGCCGAGCACGTGGTAAATCAGCACATAAAATTGCATTTAACAATTTGATTGGTGCCGGCGGGGATCGAACCCGGGTTACTCGCGTTCTGTTATATTTACAGCGAACGTTAACCATCTGAGCTACCAGGGCTCTTTTTTAACCATCTGAATTCCTACCATGAAGGAAAATAATTTGAAGTTAAAGCGTAATTTAAATTTTCTTTTAGGGTTTGTACAGTGCTATCAAAGATTAAAACGACGGCGGACAGACAAATAAACAACTGACTTATTAAATATCATAGCTCTGTAAGACATTTATTTAGGCCATTCGCTGTGTACTACATATAACTCATTGTTATTGTCTTAGTATTGTGTTTGAAAATCAGACATTGAATGCTAAGCTAGGCATTATTAGAAAATTACTGTTAAGGAAGGTAGGAACTCAGCAGAAGAACTTACAACCTATAAAAGTAAAGAACGTGTTATATGATAATCGGGTGTAAATCAATGCAAAGGAAATATTTATCATTGCAGATAAACATATTAAATATAAATACGCTTATCAAATATTCATCAATAGTAGGAACAAAGCTCGTTAAAAAAATCATGATAATACATCATGCTCTATTTTAAGCAGTCGACATCTTATGACCAAAGTTGTTTGAATAAATAAAACAAATGGAAAAATGAGAACTAAAACGTATGGAATTGACAACAAATGTCAAATTTCGCGAAGATTAGGGTGTCATGGCGAAAGGACTTTTTTGTGAAATTCCCGAGACTATCAATAAACCACGTTTTGTTTTGACAGTGGTCATAAAATTTAATATTCGTTCGTTCGTTAATAAAAAAATTCGGGTAAGAATAATAAACTTCCGAGAAAACGATTGACGTGACATTATAAAACACAGATAATATTGTAAAACCCGATTATAGTGTTCATATGGTGTGCGTGATATTCGTACGGTGCGCGTTCGTATAGTAACGAGAACTGAATATAGTTATTACTGGTAAATTTAACACAATGGGTGCGTTTGGCAGAAAAAAGCGCTAGCAAGCGCTTGTAAGCAAAATGGCGATCGTAAGCGGTAAGCGCTGTCAAATCGTAAGTAGCTATTTTCCTCCAGGACACGATGTTAGTTTCCTAAGAACCTTAACCTAGAACCTAAACTAATTTAAATATATGTTTGTAAAGTATTTATATTAAAAAACTTACCAATCATGAATTTTTAATAACATGTATATGTTTATTCATGTCATTATATTACTTAAAACTATTATTGCACAAAACAACTTATAAACTCTACTTCAAAACAAACAAATTAAATAAGCAAAATGGCGGATAGTGTCAGCGCTACTGAAGTAGCAATCGTGTCCTGGCCGAAAATTATTTCAGCGCTTATAAGCGCTTGCTAGCGCTTTTTTCGGTGCGTTTGGCAGAAAAAAGCGCTAGCAAGCGCTTGTAAGCAAAATGGCGATCGTAAGCGGTATGCACTGTCAAATCGTAAGTAGCTATTTTCCTCTAGGACATGAAGTTAGTTTTAACCGAGGAACCTAACCTAATTTAAATATATGTTTGTAAAGTATTCATATCAAAACTTACCAATCATGAATTTTTAATAACATGTATATGTCTATTCATGTCATTATATTACTTAAAACTAATATTGCACAAAACAACTTATAAACTCTACTTCAAAACAAACAAATTAAATAACTAAAATGGCGGATTCTGTCAGCGCTACTGAAGTTAGCAAACGTGTCCTGGCCGAAAACTGTTTAGTTTCGCCATTTTGCTTACAAGCGCTTGCTAGCGCTTTTTTCTGCCACGCGCACGCAACGCCATTAATGACGTCCAATAAGTTTTTCTTTTATAGAATATGGCAAACGAGCACACAGTCCACCTGGTGGTAAGTGGATGCTGTGGCCCATAGAGTACATTTATCTTCGATTAAGTATCAAAATGCAGAGATGTGTTGTCGTCCCTGAGGACTAAGATGTATTGAATAAACAAGTTTCTCTTTCATATTCACCTTTTTATATAAAAAGCCGATAAAATATATATTTAGATACTAGACACTAAATATAGTTAGAAACTGGCCAAATATTAGTATAATTAACTTTTAACAATTTAACCGACGGATAAGGAAATTATGTGCATTTCATAACACAAATACGCAACTACCAACACTTTCTGCGCAATTGTGCCGTTGGGGATAATCATTGTTAATGTGTACAATGGATGATAATGCCCATTAACTGCAATTGTATTCCAATATGCATTGTTGTATGTTAGTGATGAAAATGCAAATTTTCTGTAATTGGCAATGGTTCCCAGCGAATCGTTCAAATTGAACCACTTTAACGAGCGTTAATCGATATTTTTATTTGTTAAGAATCAGAAATAACTACATGTTATTCGTAAAAAAATATTTATTTATTACTTTGCTAATTCATATTTATTTATTACAATTTAGTCCAAGTGGGTTTTAGGATTATAAAATGACTTATTCGACATAATGTGCACATGAGGCCACACTGGGCGAACCGCAGAAGTGGCCCGAGGAGGCTGAGTGGGTTTTGAGAGACCACTCCGAAAGCGAGTTTGTGGGCTGCAGCGGGAGGATTGTCCTCTCACCCTGCCGTTTGCAGTCGAGAGCACCATTACGAGCCTAAGTTTTTATAGCTGGTTACTTTAAGTTGTTGGATGAAATAATCAACCTATCATATACATAGGTGATGACGATGAGCGATCACATAATATGAATACATTCTATACACATAAATGACCGGTCGCACTGATAAAATAGTTTTTAGCCAACAATTTTTTCATATTTTAAGTACTAGATTTTTCTATTTCTGTAGTACTGTACTTACAGCATTTCATTTTTTTTAAAGTACCTAAGGAGGATAGGTGCGTACAATCCCTAGGACACAGTACGCAAAGGCAAATAGATGGCCTATAGACACCTACATCTATCATCGATTACGAATGAAAATGGTTGAGTGCTTCGATAATTTAAAAAAACCCTGGTTTTAGTCAATCATCATAAGGAACAAAGCAACATCATGCTGCTATTTACGGTGGAATTTTGTAGCGTATTCCCTCTTCAATCGCGTCGACCTTTAGGTGCAGTTGACGTACAGCTCCTTGATCCTACTTTTAATGGTTTGGATTCTACTCTAGTTTTCAAATTCATTCCATATTATAGTGTCAGACGTACCTGTACCCGCTGACATCTGATTAAGCTTTGTGTATGCGTGAGTATCCTTAACACCATGTGTTCAATTGTGCTCTGCTCCTCGAAGACCATCCTCGCCAAATCCAGTAGGACTTGGTTCCGCTTTACTTCCAACTGCGACCTTTCGTACAGTTGTGCGTTTCGTAAGCCGATACCGCAGAACTGGAGGTACGAAGCGAAAACTTTCTCGTCGTTTGTCGTGAAAGGTCCGTCGTTTTGTTTATTTATCACCTGTAAAAAATCTCAGTAAGTGATAATGAAAGCTATTCTTTAGTTCATCTCTTAGGTCTCTCACTAATCACAATTTCCATTCATTCAATTATTCGTTCAAACGTTACAGTCTTTCAAAAGTCTAATACTAAACATGACGTCACCAATAGACTGCTTCATATGGGGGATTGATGGGAAAAACTATAGTCCTATATATATATATATATATATATATATATATATATATATATATATATATATATATATATATATATATATATATATAAACATTTGTTTCTTAAACGCCAAAGAGAATACATATATTATGATAGTTTAACTGTTTAAACGTAACTGATTTTTTATTACTTTTAAATTCAAAATTCTAGAACTATTGGTAAATATAATGCAATACATACATATGTACCTAAGTAAATTTTATTCCAATACATTTGTTACCTGCGCAACACCGATGACTTCTCCGTTGATGTCCTTAATTGGCATGCAAAGGAGTGACCTCGTCTTGTAACCCGTTTGTTGGTCAATGTCGTGGTTGAATCTCTCGTCCTAAAACAAAAGTCACACTTAAGCACGTTTATTGAAAAATCCAATTACCTACTTACATTTATTTCAAATCCTATACTATCAAAAACGGACCTAAAGATTTCTATTAAATTTACAATCTAGATATTTACGGGCCGGAAAATAGATGTAGCTAGTCCTCATTTCTGGGAAAATTCGTTTTTTCCGTATTTTCACGGACAAATTTTGACTTAGACGCGCAAACTAATTAGTAATTTCGCCACTATGGTCATCTTCTTAATTAACGCTAGCGCGTAAGACTAGGACGCCGTTGTTCGTGATTTCGAATCCTGCAATGTGGTTAGGTTTTTGTTTCTTATTCTTTTAGAGTTCTAGCACCTAGCTTTAGTTCTAGCTTTGGTCGATTGATGTTTGATGACGATAATGATTGATGCTTAACACGTTTACTTAATGTCAACGTTGAAAATGTTATAGTATAGTATAAATTAAAGAAAATACCGAAGAAAATTAAAAATCTGCGCCAGATGAAAAATGCCATGATCTCAGTTGCGAGACATCTGCCAGTTCCATAAAGCCTTGGTGGTGTTGGCTTGGAGGTATTGGTGACGTGCGAAAAACTTAGTGTTATCATGGCTTGAGCAAGGTCTTATAAAAGGTTGTAGATAAAACTTAACTTATTAATTGTGAATTAGTTTTTCAAATTAATAAAAATGAAAATTAATGTAAACGGTGTAGTGGTGGTGAAAGAATATCCACTTCCCTTATATCCTCCCGTGCGTGTCGTAACAGACGACAAAAAGAAACGAACCAGGAGATGGTCAGTAATGTCCTAATAATATTATATATATCAGGGCTAATAATATTTAGAAAATAACAAAACTGCGGTTGCCAATCCGCCAAGCGTGGCAAATATAGGAAATAAAAACCATCATCAATCAATCAAACATTGTATCAAACATTTGCAACGAATCAGTATTATGAGAATATATCCTGTTTAACATTATCTGCGTTAAAGAAACTTAGTTACAATAGGAACTGTATCAAGAGGGTAACCGGATTCCAGAGGAACCGACCGCAGACCGCAACTGTCCTCCAACTATTCAAAGAGCGACTCTTGTTTCTAATTACTACGTTAGATATACACGTTATGCATATTGTTTAGTAAAAAACCGTTTTTTAATAAAATATCAAGAAATTTTGAATTTGGACATGAATGCCATTTTAGTCTAATGGTCGTAAGCGAAACTGTTGATCATGTGGTCGGGGTGCGAACTCCGGGTCGGACTAAAATAAGTTATTAAGTTTTCTGTCGAGAAAACTTTTATTTAAACTTATTTAAATAAATAAGTTTAAATAAATTTATTTATTTAAACTTTGTCGAACAGTATAAAATCAAAAGACATACTTAATGCTAAAATCATTATCTGCCAGTAAACCTTAGGGCAGTGATAAAACTACGAAGGTGGTTATAAAGATATATACATATAATGAATACGGTCATATAAATTAATATAAACATCTTAGCTTTTCTCGGAAACAGCTCAGGTGAAATTTAAAATTTTTGAATTATTAAAAATATTTTACTTTCCAAGTTTACCTGGACGCAAGGTATAATTTCTAAGGAAAATAATAAAATATTTTTTCTAAGTCCTCTAAATACTTAAATCATATTTTGAGCATGTTTTAACTTTGAAATCACATTTTTTTATGTGACCACGATTTAAGAAGAATAAGCGGTTAAGTAAAAATAACAAACGGTCGGAGACAACGTAAAAAGTATGAAACAGTTCGTTACCAAAAAACTCGTTGTACAAGGTTGTAGCACAAATGGGTCGGCACGAAGAAGGATCTCGCTGTTACAGAATAACAACGTAAAAAAGCAGCTTAAAGCTGCTGCGTTTCTACGATAAGTGTAGTAAACCAGCAACATTTTTTAATGGAATTGACGCATTCCGTCTTAGTTATCTGGAGTCAGAACGCATCTGCATTTTGATTGTAAATGGAGTACAGATGTAGATGTCAATGGACCTCAGCATTTTTTTACTACTAGGTGAACTGTATCATAGTAAAAGCGCCGCGCGAGACTTAAATGCAACTAACAAATTGCAATTAACAGCTAATTCTGGTTAAGTTTTATAAGTAGTTATAATATTTACAAACATAATACATACGGATTATACGCCATATTTGTTAATAATTTCCTTAGTTTCCTCTCAAAGAATCAATGTTTGTCAAAAAAAATCCAGCTTTACATTACAACAAATGCCAAATAACTAAAATACGAGTAAATTAACACTGAGCATAAAATTAAAATTAATTTGATCTGATGTGATATGATAATTAATGTACTTATGAAGTATGTATCTATGTGTAGATTATAGTAATACAACCTATTAATAAAAAGCTAATTTTGCTTATACAAACGCATATATAAATTTATTTTACAAAAAGAGAAAATAAAACGAAAAAGTGATTGCTAGCAATATTTTATTAAAAGTCAACAAAGTCTCAAACAAAGGTGATTGCGGAGCGAGGCGTAGGGCGTCCCCGATTCGGCTGTTACGGCTCTATCTTCCGAACTTAGCAAGTGTCGTTGTGCGTACTGTCACGTGCCAGGCACGCTCACGTATTATCGGCTATCGGTACATTTCTTAGAAGAAAGCCTACTATTCTGTTTTTTCTATGACTCTATGCACATTTTAACTTTTAACTTTTATTTTATAAAAAAAATCTCGGAAGAATTAGTGGTCCAGTAATAAATCCAAGTCGTCGGAGACAATGTAAAAACTATGAAACAGTTTGTATCCAAGACACAATAACGAAATTGTTTTCTATCTATGTAATTTATGGCTCAATATCGTGAAATTGTAGTATATTAAGATACAACGCAAGAACGTGCACATGTCTGCAGAAAACCGCATTCGGGCATATGGCTGAAAGCCAAGACGTGACTGCGGGCTGAGTGTATGATTACGCGAAACGGTTGATCATCTCGACGCGCTATACGCGTATAGCTTAAAATATGACGTTTCTATATTCAATACTTAATATTGATCATGTTTTTCTTGGTAGAGCATTTCTAGAACTGGTTGCAGCTGTATATGGCTGCAGAATTAATGGATCGGTATGATCGGGGGAGGACCAGATGCTCAAATTACTAGTGTTCAGTACCGGCATAATGCTGCCAGGTTTTGTGTAGCGAGTGTAGAAAATCAGAGACCCTTATTGATCAACACGTCTTCACCACTACAACATATTATTTTTTAAAGTTTTCAAGCATAGTAGATATAAGCGTGTGACGGCAAGCTGTGGCCGGCGGGATCGGATTCCGTTTTGGAAAAAAAGTAATTAAAAATTGTTTTTGTATATCTATCTATATTGTTTATAGATCTATCTATATAGTTTATAGAGATATTATATTATTTTATACGTGGTAAAGCCATGCTGCAGTTATATTAGAAGTATAGTTGTAGCACGCACGAATGGGTCGGCTCGACCGGGGAAGGACCACGCTCTCACAGAATACCAGCGTGAAAAAGTAGCTTAATGCTGCTGTGTTTCGTATGGTGAGTGTAGAGAACCGGAGACCCTTTTTACTGGAAACGAGGCATTCCATCTTCTCGTAGTCCTCACGGGTGACAATGCATCTACATTTTGATTCGTAATCGAGGATAGATGTAGATGTCTATGGGCCACAGCAACCACTTACCATTAGGTGGACAGTGTGCTCGTTTGTCACCCTATCCTATAAAAAAAAGTTTCTACCTATGTCCGTCATTTTGAAACCATCCAACCGATGTGCCCCAAACCGGTTTAATTAGAAAGGCAATAATGCGAAGATGGTTTTAGGCCACTAAATATATTAGGCACTATATAAAAGCGTTTAAAAAATCCCTTTTTCTAATAAAGGTTTTTTAGAGTAGTAGCACATACCGGGTGTCCGGTAGCAAAAGTGAAGTGGCAAACGATTTTACATTACATCTTAAGGTAAGTGGGTACTAGTCTGTTGACGCCTGCAGCCAATATCAAATAAACAAGAACTAAGATGGAATGCCTGTTAATTATAACTGACTGACTCTACCAAAAACTTATACGTGGTAGAGGCACTCTGCAGCTATATTATACGTGGTAGAGGCACGCTGGAGCTATATTATACGTGGTAGAGGCACGTTACAGCTGTATTATATAGTTGTAGCACGAATGGGTCGGCATGACCGGGGCAGGACCACGCTCTCACAGAATACCAGCGTAAAATAGCAGCCTAATGTTTCGTATGATGAGTGTATAGAACCGGAGATCCTTTTTACTATGTTTGAGACATTCCATCTTAGTCCTCAGGGGTGACAAGGCATTTGTATTTTTATTCTTAATTGAGGATACATGTAGGTATCTATGGGTCACAGCATCCATTTATCAGGTGGAGTGTGTGCTCGTTTGTCACCCAAAGATATTAAAAAGAAGTAAAGAAAGTGCTCTCAAAGTCAAGTATCTAAAACTTTGGTTTTTTTTTGGGCACTTTTTTTTGGTTTGTGTTTAAGGCACAAAGAGAATTCAAATAACAATTGTTCACTACCAAGATTTTCATATTGAAGTTATGATACCTACTAGACGGTATGCCTGCATTATTTATGACCTTATAAATGACATCAATTGTAAAATAACAGCCACGTTTCCAGTTGCTTACGTAGAAGTTTTCGGTCATTCACAAACACACACAATTCAAATATTACAATAATTTACAAGCCTTTGTTGCACCTGATGAATAATTACAAAGCAACGACCATACCTTCGCATGTTTTATTTATATTCTATATACGTTACGTTTTAAGCCCCTATTCCCTACACGCACGTCACATGACGAGATTAGATTTAAAGCCTCTTTATTCAGGCAGATTAGTAAAAACAATTAAGCTGTCAGACGCTAACAGCTTGTCTAATTTTAGATGTTGGTGTAAAATTATAACGTTTATTGTTCAGTTTGGAGGTAACTTTGGATTTTTTTTCTATAGAGAAAATTTTATGGA